CCAGTGACTTTATCCCATTCACCATCCTGCTTGTCCCCTCCCCTCCCCCGGCACACTCACCTTGCACCACTGGTCCTGAAACAGGGTGGGGGGGGGGTGAGCAGGTAACAGTGAGGAAACTGGAGAGCTCTTTAATCCTGGGTTACACTGCGTCAGTTTTGAATTGTGCATGAAGAGAAGTGACTTGTACTAAATATTTCTGGATTCTCTTATTCTTGGTCCACAGCCCAGGAACCTGATTTCTATATTTTAATGTTTATTACAGGGAAGTCTCTCTACGTGAAGAGATTGCATGAAACTCTGAAAATGAAGTTTACTGGGAAAAACGTGCCTCTCAAAATTATTCGACTGATTGACCCTCAGGTAGATGAGAACCAGGTCCTGGGCTCCCTGCTGCCTTTCCTGGGCGCCGAGTATCAGACGAGCCCCGTGATATTCCACCTGGACGTGACCTCCTCGGTGAGTGCCTGGGATTCCAGCCAGTGGCCATGTCCAGAAAGACACGGTGGCTCCTAGGTCCTGTCCTGCCTCCTTCCAAGCATAATAAATTTCTTTATCACCTGGCCAGTGTTGCTCAGGGGTTGAGTGTCAACCCATGAACCAGGAGGTCACGGTTCAATTCTAGGTCAGGACACAGGCCCGGGTTGTAGGAGTGATCCCCAGTGGGGGCCGTGCAGGAGGCAGCCGATCCATGATTCTCTCTCATCATGGACGTGTCTATCCCTCTTCCTTCCTCTCTTTGCAAGGAAAAAAATAAGAATTTCTTTATCATGTATTGATATTCAGTCCCATCGTGTTCAAGAACAGACTAAGGAGGTCCTCGGGGGCTGGTCTTTTGCTTAAATATTGGTGGCGCGTGTGATTCTCTCTCCAGGTGCAGGATGGGGTCTGGGCGTTTCTCTTCAAGCTCCTGGTGCTACAGTACTTAATGGACTCAAACGGGAAAATGTGGCTTCGGAGCCCGAGCCACTTATATGTCATCGAAATCCTGGAAGGGCAATCGGCGCTGCCTACGAGGTCTTCAAAGTTGGTGCGCACCCAGGGCCCTGTCCCATCAGGGTGGGTGGGCTCCTTCCTAAATGTTCGCCCCCCACCACCACCACCACCACTTGTGCCTTAGCCAGGCAGCAGAGTCTGGGTTAGTCAAGAAAAATCCATCCTTAGACTTACTTTTTTCAATGCATGGGATAAAAATAGTTTTATTAATTAGCAGCATCTTCAATTTGTTTGGACTCATGGTTGATGCTATGCCTCTGATGCACTAAACTCGCCCACTTGGCAGCACCACCTTTCCTGATGCAGCTGAGATGGGAAGGAGGCATTTGTCACATAAATTCCTTTCTTTTAAATTTTTTATATTCTCACCCAAAGATACATTTTTGTTGACCTGACAGAGAGAGAAACATTGATGTGAGAGAGAAAAATGGATTCTTGCCTCCCATATGCACCCCAACTGAGGCTCAAACCTGCAACATGGCTATTGCCCTGACCAGGAATCCAACCTGCAACCTTTTGGTGCACAGGACGGCATTCCAACCGACTGAGCCACAGCAGCGAGGCTGTCACATAAATTTCTTAACAAATTGAGCTTTATGCTCACACACTCACACATAATGGAAAGATTTGGTTTTGGGAGCTCAAGTGAAAGCACCTCCCGCTGGGACCGCAGCTTTGACAGTGCTGAGTGTGCAGGTGACAGGCACCTGTGCTGAGGGGAGTCTGCAGACATTGCTTCATGAAAAGTGGTTTTTCATGAAGGTTTGTCCAATAGAGACCATGTCGATAGTGCAAACACCAAAAGCATGTTTTTAGGGAATTATTTCGTAACCATTTTATTCACCTCTCTCCTTTCCAGAGGACACGTGTCCCCCCGTTCAGTCTTCTTGACATCTTCCCAAAAGTCACCTGCAGGCCCCCCAAAGAAGTGATCTACATGGAGCTGAGCCCCGAGCAGCACCTCGAGGAGCCGGGCATGGACCCCACAGAGTTCTGCAGCGAAACCTTCCAAAGACCTTTCCAGTATCTGAAGCGGTTCTATCAGAAACAGAACCTGGACACGTTCCAGTACCAGAAAGGCCGGGTGGAGGGCACCCCTCAGGAATGCCTGCAGCACCTGCTCTTCTACTGCGGGGTGCTTGACCCCTCCTGGGCGGAGCTCCGCAACTTCGCCCTCTTCCTGAACTGCCAGCTCAGGGACTGCGAGGCCTCCACCTTCTGTGACCCTGCGGTGGTTGGGGACATACTGAGGGGCTTCAAGAATTTTGTGGTGACGTTCATGATTTTCATGGCGAGAGACTTCGCCACCCCAACGCTGTGCATGTCGGATCAGAGCCCCGGGAAGCACGTGGTCACTATGGATGGGGTCACTGAGGAGGACATAGCCCCGTTCTCTCTCCGCCGGCGGTGGGAGTCGGAGCCACACCCGTACCTGTTCTTCAACGGGGACCACACGTCCATGACCTTCATTGGCTTCCACCTGGAGCCCAAGCAGAAGGGCACTTTGGATGCCATCGACCACGTGAGTAAGAAAGTGATCAAGAGGGATGTCATGAATAAGGACCTGTACCAGGCACTGCTGCGGCAGGGAGTGCCCTTCAATGTGGATTTTGACGTGCTGCCCAGGCACGAGAAACTAGAGCGGCTCTGCCTGGCACTGGGGATCCAGCAGCCCGTGGACCCTGACAACACATACGAGCTCACGACGGACAACATGCTGAAGATCCTGGCCATTGAGATGCGCTTCCGGAGCGGAATTCCCGTCATCATCATGGGGGAGACCGGCTGCGGGAAGACCCGGCTCATCCGCTTCCTCAGCGACCTGCAGCGCGGGGCCTCCAAGGCCAAGACCCTGCAGCTGGTCAAGGTCCACGGCGGGATGAGCGCGGACATGATCTACAACAAAGTCAAGGTGGCAGAGGCCCTCGCCCAACACAACAAGAGCAAATACGGGCTCGACACCATCCTATTCTTTGATGAGGCCAACACCACGGGCGCCATCAGCTGCATCAAGGAGGTCCTGTGTGACCACATGGTAGACGGGCGGCCGCTGGTGGAGGACTCGGGCCTCCACGTCATCGCGGCCTGCAATCCTTACCGGAAGCACTCCCCAGAGATGATTGCCCGCCTGGAGGCTGCTGGGCTGGGCTACCGGGTGCGTGCAGAGGAGACGGTAGAACGGCTGGGCTCCATCCCGCTGCGGCAGCTGGTGTACCGTGTCCACGCACTGCCACCGAGCCTGGTGCCCCTAGTGTGGGACTTCGGACAGCTGAACAACACCACGGAAAGGATGTACATCCAGCAGATCGTGCGGAGGCTGGTGGACACAACCACAATTGGCCCAGACAAGACGTGCGTGATCACCAACGTGCTTTACGCCTCCCAGTGCTTCATGCGGAGAGGAGAGAATGAGTGCAGCTTCGTTAGCCTCCGGGATGTGGAGCGCTGCATGAGAGTCTTCTGGTGGTTCTACGACCACAGCAAGATGCTTCTGTCCAAGCTGGACACCTTTCACAGCAAGCCTGGTGATAGCCCCGACAACTCCAAGAGAGACCCCGTGCTCTGGTCCCTGGTGCTGGCCGTTGGGGTGTGTTACCATGCCTCCCTGGAGAAGCAGGACGAATACCGCAGAGCCATCTGTAAGCTCCTCCCGCCGCCCTACGATAACAGCAAGACCATACTGGATGCGATTGTGCGGACGCAAGACCTCTTCCTGGAGAACGTATCTTTGAGGAAAACCATCGCCAAGAACTTAGCCTTGAAGGAGAACTTCTTCATGATGGTCATCTGCATTGAGCTGAAGATCCCACTCTTCCTGGTGGGGAAGCCTGGCAGCTCCAAATCTCTCGCCAAGACCATCATGGCAGAAGCCATGCAAGGCCCAGCTGCCCCCTCGGAGCTCTTCCAGAGCCTGAAGCAGGTCTACCTGGTGTCGTTCCAGTGCAGCCCGCACTCCACCCCTCAGGGCATCATGGGCACCTTCAAGCACTGCGCCCGCCTGCAGCAGGGCCGGGACCTGGAGCAGTATGTCTCTGTCGTGGTGCTGGACGAAGTGGGCCTGGCCGAGGACTCGCCCCAGATGCCACTCAAGGCCCTGCACCCACTGCTGGAAGACGGGTGCATTGAAGATGACCCCGCCCCCCACAAGAAGGTGGGCTTCATCGGCATCTCCAACTGGGCCCTGGACCCCGCCAAGATGAACCGGGGCATTTTCGTGTCCCGCGGCAGCCCCAGCCAGAGGGAGCTCATAGAGAGCGCCCGAGGGATCTGTGCATCTGAGCCCCTTGTGCAAGAGAGAATCCAAGGGTACTTCCAGCCCTTGGCCAGCGCCTACGAGGCGGTGTGCGCGAAGCAGGACAAGGAGTTCTTTGGGCTCAGAGACTACTACAGCCTCATCAAAATGGTCTTTGCCGCCGCAAAAGCTTCTAACAGGACGTTCTTCCCGCAAGATATTGCACAGGCCATCCTTCGGAACTTCAGTGGCAAAGACGAGATCCAGGCCCTGGACATTTTCTCTGACCACTTGCCAGAGGTGAAGCTCACCGCAGAGGTCAGCACCTTGCAGCTGATCCAGCAGAACCTGTTCGGTGACCTTCCAAGGGCGCCAGGCACGGGGCCAGAGGACTCGGAGTCCCGCTACCTGCTGGTGCTGACCAGGAACTACGTGGCCTTGAAGATCCTGCAGCGGATGCTCTTCGCTGAGGACCAGCAGCCCGAGATCATCTTCGGGTCCAGCTTCCCGCGGGACCAGGAGTACGCGCAGATCTGCAGGAACATCAACCGCGTGAAGATCTGCATGGAGACGGGCAAGATGGTGGTGCTGCTCAACCTGCAGAACCTCTATGAGAGCCTCTACGACGCCCTCAACCAGTACTACGTCTACCTCGGGGGCCAGAAGTACGTGGACCTGGGCCTGGGGACCCACCGGGTCAAGTGCCGGGTGCACCCCGACTTCCGCCTCATCGTCATCGAGGAGAAGGACGTCGTCTGCCAGCAATTCCCCATCCCCCTCATCAACCGGCTGGAGAAGCACTACCTGGACCTCAACACTGTCCTGGAGAAGTGGCAGAAGGACCTTGTGGAGGAGCTCAAGGCCTGGGTGGACAAATTCATCGACTTCAAGGCAGTGCAGGATTCCACCCGGCACACCCGGTACAGCCCTCCTGACGTCTTCATCGGCTACCACGCAGACACCTGTGCCTCGGTGGTGCTCCAGGTCGTCGAGAGGGTTGGGCCTGGGGCCCCGAGCCACGAGTGTTACCATAAGGTCCTAGAGGACGCCAAGCTGGTGCTGCTGGACTGTGCCACACCCGATGCTGTGGTCCGGCTCAGCACCTCCCCCCTGGGCCAGTTTGCTGCACAGTCCCTGTCCCGAGAATACTATTATGGGCAGCAGCACAACTCCTTTGCAGACTTCCTGCAGGCTCACCTCCGTGGGTCGAGTCCGAAGTGCCACACCTTCTTCACAGAGGTGATTCTCTCCCTACAGTTTTACCCTCACCCTCTTTCACTTCAGAGTCCTTGATCACTGGTGTAAAAAATGAAAGGTTCTCCTCTAGTCCATGTCTAGGAATCAGAAAGGGATAGATTGAGGTTTTTTTAAATATATACTTTTATTGATTTCAGAGAGGAAGGGAGATAGATAGAAGCATCAATGATGAGAGAGAATCATGAATCAGCTGCCTCCTGCCCACAACTCTGGCATGTGCCCTGACTAGGAATAGAACCCTGACCTCCTGGTTCATAGATTGATGCTCAATCACTGAGCCACACCAGCTGCAAAGTATGTTGAGACTTTTGCTTCCTCTTCATGTTACATGTGAAGAGACCCAGATATGTATTAAAGTTCGGTCTCACTGCAATTTGGGTGCCAATGTCTGTGCAGCACTTCGTGTGGACAGGAACCTCAGCACAGGAAGCACCACATTGAGGACTTGTGCTCAGGCACTGGGAATGTACCCCATTGTTGTCCTTGCTCAGCATACCATGTAAGGTGGACAGACAGACTCATGAACCCGTGCCATTCGTTCCAGAATGTTTTCCCCAGGCAAAGAGGGGCAACACAGATCAGGTTGAGGTCAGATGGGATCTTCTTTTTTTGTTAATCCTCCCCCAAGGATATTTTCTCCATTGATTTTCAGACAGAAGGGGAGGGGGAGAGAGAGAGAGAAACATCAACATGGGACACATCAATTGGTTGCCTCCCACACTCACCCCGACTGGGGTGGGTATGAACCTGCAACCAAGATATGTGCCCTTGACCGAAATTGAACCTGCAAATCTTTGGTCCATGGGCCAATGCTTTAACCACTGAGTAAACCAGCTAGAAACAGGCAGTGCTGGGGCTGACCAGCAGACTCTGAGAGATGGATGAATGATTACTCTGACACATGTTTATGTGAAAGAGAGGACTAAGGGACTGCCTGGCTAAAGGAACCAGACAGCTCTGTTCACCTGCCTCCTTAGGCTTTTATTATAGCAACAGCTTGAACCAAAAATAACTGTTAGATACTATCAGCAGGGTGAGTATCCTTGAGAAGACACATGCGTCTGCAGTGTCCTTTGAGCAAGGACGTTCTGAAGTCTAAATATAAAGATTCCACTAAAACACCTGGGGGCTCAGACTTGTTTGGAAAAGTCAAGGCAGGGTCTGCTGCCTTTGACAAGGTCCCCCTACAGGTCCCTGACCTTTTGGAGAGTCCTCCTTGCAGACTTTCCAACCAAGTCCCATACTTCCCCACAAGGCAGGATTTTCTTTAAGAGGTGGCCCCCACAGGGATTGGGAATTGTGGTTGGGAAAGTATCACAGTCGAAGGTGTCAAGGTGAGAAACAGCTGAGCCTGTACAGGAGATCAGGAGTGGTTCATTGATGGAGCCTAATGCGCAAAGCCGGGAGTGCTGAGAGGTGGGGTGAGCGACTATTGGAGAGACTTCACGGAGGGCCTTGTTGGCGGCACTGAGAGTTTGATCTTTCCTGTGGGAGGGGAGTGATGGAGAGATGTGTGCTGACATGGGGGAAGGTGTGATGAGAGACTAACATAGAAAAGGCACACCAGTGGGGAGGCTGCTGTGAGTGTTCAAAGTAAATGATGACGGCTAGAAAGGAGTAGTTAGGAATACATTGGCAGAGTGAACGGTTGATCCCGTATAAGGGCTGCGGGAGATGGAGGAGTCTGGGGATGATTCCCGGGTTCTTCCTTGGATGGCCAGAGGTCTGGTTAATCACAATAGAGGATCCTGGAATGAGCAGCGAGTTGCGGGGGCGGGGAGGAACAGAGGTAAATTCCACTTGGTGCCCCTGTCAACCCAGGAGGATGTGACTGTCATGCAATTGGATGTAGAAGCTCAGTGGGAAGGCCAGCCTAGAGACAGGGGATTTGGCAGCTGCCAGATCAGCATTCCCATAATGAGCATTGGTTGCACTACGCGGTGTGACCCAGTGGCATGGAGAATTGCTGGTAGCCATGCAAAAGAAGGGGCGTCATCAGCTAACTCCATCTGAAAGTATGAAGCAAGGTTGCCAGGGAGGAAATGCCATTTGTGTTGAGCCCTAAGGGATAGTTACACTTTCCAGTAAGGACCAAAGCAGGAAGACGCCTGAGTCTGGGAAGGAGACTCCGTCTTCGGGACAGGGTGTCTTCTCTCCACTGCCTTCTGATCCTGGGTTCTGTTCCCCTCAGCACTGCCTTGTTTTTAAAAACTCTGGGTTTGGGTTCTTTTCTGTCTGTGCCAGCAGCACCGTGCTAGCCCATAAGAGGTACTGGCTGAACATACTTGCGTTTCCAGGATCTAACCCTAGGAGACGTGCAAATAGTTTGCATTCCATGACCTTGCAGATTACTACTTTCTCCAGACTGCTCACCAGTCACGACTGTGAGATGTTGGAATCGGAAGTGAACGACAGGGCTCTGAAACCCATGATCCTGTCACTGCAGCAATTTGACACCAAGCACTCATTCCTCAAAGAAGTTCGGTGAGGTCCCCCGGCTGCCCTCCCTCTGGGCTCCGTCCTCAGCTCTGGCCACATCGTATGTCATTTGTGTGGCTGGAGTGACCACGGTGCTGTCAGCAGCGCTGGGTAATGAACATGAGGACCCGGGACTCAGAAAAGGACACTTGTTAAATCCTCCAGAGTCCCTGTCACCGCTGTTGTCTTCTGGGTGGGCATCCTTCTCTGAAACCTGGTCCTCGGGTCTCCTTAGGCAGTGTTTATTGGGGTTTATTTTTTCCCCGCTGGGTTGCCCACTCACTTTGTAGAAGAGAATCCCGCCTGAATAGTTTAATAGTAGCCCTTATAGTTCCCATAGTTCTGGGGTCGGGGGAGGAAAGGGAGGGCTTTATCATCCCTTTTTAGGATAGAGAAATAACTTGTGTAATTTCTCTTTTTTTCAGAAACTGTTTGACAAGCACAGCCACACGTAAGATCCTCATCATCCAGACAGATTTTGAGGACGGTGTTCACAGTGCCCAGCTCATCGCCTCGGCTAAGTACGTTTTGTTCTTTTTGGAAAGCACCTAAAGGATTTCTTCCCTGAAGACAGTACAGGATCATAATACACATAGAAATAAAAATAAAACTGGCTCTCCCTTTTCATTTTTCCAATCATGGACTAGAGAAACTGAAAAAAGAGAAGCAAAAGGGAGGAAAGGCTAAGAACAATACCAAAATGGAGAAACGCAAGAAGTATAAATGGAACATAAATAGGATATAAACGAATATCCTAGAAACATGGGTTTGCAGACATGTTTTGGTCATGATTAGCTTTAAATGATACAATTTGAATGTATTGCAAGGTCAAGGACAGGAACAGGATGGAAATGATTTCATTTGTATTTCTTGGATTTTTAAATAGTGTTTGTCAGGTAAATATGATGCCTTCAGAATTGTGTTCCTGTTACTTTGTGTCATGGCTCTTTGGCCACTGGTTGTCTGACCATGGAATCTTGCTTCTTGAAATGCAAAGTCCCTCTAGACTTGCCTTCGGTGGGATGAGGGAAGCCATCGTGGATCCCAGAGTAGAGTTTATGATCCATAAGAAATGCCCCTCCAAAGCTGAGGGACACAGGGATGGGGGACAAAATTCTCCTTCTTAGAGAACGTGCCCTCATTCTCTAGGAAAAGAGATAATCACAAGGGCGACGTTTATTTAAAACTGAAAGAAGAGAGACCCTGAGCTTCAACCTGCCAGCTCCTAGGACACCCTCCAGCTACTTCGCAACTTCGGTTTTGTGTATTGGCTTTGTTTTTGCTGCTTCAATTTGTTTTGGTTTTGCTTGTTTGTTTTAAAAAAATAGGTATTCTGCTATAAATGAAATCAACAAGATACAAGGAAATAAGGCCTGCATCTTTGTCTATTTCATCACAAAACTGTCCCGGATGGAAAGTGGAACGTCCTATGTGGGATTCCACGGAGGTAGGAAAAACAAATTAGTAAATGTGGTTACATAAGTCCCGTTTGAGTTATTTCTAGCTCGGTCCTAGGGTATACAAGTCTGAAATTAGAATATTAGTGTTACTCCCAACAATATTCATTTCAGATGAGATTAAACTTGTTACTGCTGATTCCAACTAAAAACACCCATCTTTGGACTTGCTGCTCAGCACATAGAATTTTCTGTATTAACTTGTAATCTCTCCATCAGTGTCTTAGGTTCCTCAGCATTTACTTTTTTGTTGTTGTTATTTGTTTTTGTCTTTTTCTTTTTGTTTAATCCTGATCCAAGGATGTTTTTTCCCAATTAATTTCTAGAGAGAGTGGAAGGGAGAGAGGGAGGGAGAGAAAGAAACATCAACGTGAGAGAGACACATTGATTGGTTGCTTCCACACCGACCCGGACCCTGGGGCTGGGAGTCAAGCCAGCAACCCTTCGGTCCTTGGGCTGATGCTCTAACTACTGAGCAACTGGCAAACAAATGGGAAATGCAGAGAAGGTATTTCCAACGCACCTGTGATGAACACACTGATACTTTATGCCTGTTTTGGGGTGAGGAGGAATGCTATCTTAAATCAACCTCCCTCTCTCCCTCTCTCCATCCTTCCTGCCTCTCCTGACAAATGGCTCACCAGGTATTTATGATGTGAGAAAGTTGGTCTTCTAGAACCAGCAAATGTGATTTACTTTAATAATTCCATAGACAATGGGAGGCCTCCCTGCCAGTGCCCCCGGCCCTGTACTGACCGCGGCTCCACAGGTAGAACACCAAACATATAAAAGGTCCACCAGCTCGGGCTGCCTTTCCACATCAGGTATTTCCGTCTGGCATGGATTTCTGGTTGAGAAGCTGAGATGCAGGCTGGGCCAAGGGTTTAGGCTCCAGGACACAAGTCTCTCACTCAGCAGCTGTGTGTCGCTGCCGGCACCAGCAGCATGTCCCTGCTTCTGGCTGAAGGACACGCGGAGACTCGGGTGGCTTTGCCTCTGCAGGGCTGTGGCAGTCCGTGCACATCGATGACCTCCGGAGATCCACGACCATGGTCTCAGATGTGATGCAGCTGCAGGAAGTGACCATCAGCCAGCTATTTGACCCTGAGTGTATGCCCCGGGAATGCCCTGGGGGCGTGGGAGGGCAGGTGTGGTGGCCAACCGTGTCAGGAGTACCTCTGCCTGTGAGCTTTGGGAACAGGGCCCCTGTGTGTCCTGCCCCGAGTCCTCACCCCCACCCCTCAGCAGGCAGTATTTCACCAGAAATGGTGGGTCTGGTGGAGCGGACGGAGCAGCGGTGAGTGCCTGTGGCCTGTGCCACTTTCTGTTCCTACATCAGCCTCAGAGCATGGGACCCAAGCAGAGGACCCCTGAGGGGTGGACCTGAGGCTGAGCTGCGTGCCTGGGCCTCTCCTTGGGAGCCACTGTAGTCAGGAGCCAGGAAACAGCTCACAGGCATAGCGCCAGCACCCAGCAGTCAGTGGCTGGACGGTGTTGCTTCTGTTGCAGCCGAGGTGGGATGCGAGGCCAGACATGGCCAAGAGGAGGCGATGGGAGTGGAGACCAATGAACCCGGGCCCACGGCTGCTGTGGACATGGAGACAGTGGACATGGAGATGGACAGTCCAAAGGCCCGGAGAGGCCACGTGAGTGCAGCTGTCTCGTATCCCGGGCCTCCGGGAGCTGCGGGCGCCCTGGGAATCTGAGGAGTACAGGGTCGCGGGCAGATCAGCCCAGCACTTCTTTCCTCCACGCTGTGCATGCAGATGCAATACAGGACAGGGTCCGACGTGGGCTCTTCCTGCGTCTCCCGGATGAGTCCTGAGCACACGTGGTCCCCTCGCAGGAGTTCTGAGAGGAGCCGGGCAGGGGAACAGGGGGAACTGTGGCCAGGATGTGTCCCCCGCCGCCCCTCGCCACCCCCGTGGGCCCTGGGGACCTATTTCCAGCTGGGCCTGCCTGTGCGCAATGACTAACGGAAGCTCAGTTGTGTCGCCACAGACGCAGGCCCTGGACTGTGACAGCCTTCTGCGCAGCTGCATCCAGAGCGCGGTGGGCCTCCTGCAGGACCCAAGCGAGCGCAGCCAGCGCAACGTGAGGCGCGTGGAGATCCTGCTCGGCCTCCTCAGTGAGGACGCAGACAACGCGTGCAAAGGTGAGTCCCTGGGACCCCCGCTTGGCTTTTCCACAAGCAGGCCCTCCCGCTGGGCCCTCCCAAGCTGCTCCAGTCCTGGCCTGGCTGCAGGGAGGCCGCTCCGCTACAGGGGGCTGGGCGGCACTGCAGGCCCAGCACAGGTCCTGGCGTGAGGCCAATGGCGTCCCCTCTGCCGCGTTACAGCCTCCTTCTCACGGGTGGCCAAGGTGCGCATCCATGACTTGCTGCGGCAGCAGGAGGAGAGCTGTGTGTTCAGCAGGAAGGAGTGGGTTGTGCAGGAGGCCTCCAACCCTGACGCCCTGCAGGAGGCAGGCACCTTCAGGTACCTGATCAAAGACACGAGGGATGCAAGTGGCGGTGGCAGGCAGATGGGTGACACAGGCAGGCAGGTGACAGGAAGCGAGCAGGTGACAAGCAGATGGGTGACAGGCAGCTGGCGGGTGACAAGCAGCTGGAGGTTGACAGGCATATGAGTGACAGGCAGCTGGCGGGTGACAGGAAGGTCTGCTCACATCCTACCTCCTCCCTTGCCCCCTACCCCCAATGTCAGGGTGCCCTACATTTCTTTCTCTGAGCAATTCAAAGTGGTCTTTTTTTGAAATATATTTTTATTGATTTTAGAGAGAAAAGGAGAGGGAAAGAGAGATAGAAACATCAATGATGAGAGAGAATCATTGATGGGCTGCCTCCTGCATGTCCCACACTGGGGATTGGGCCTGCAACCTGAGCATATGCCTTGATGGGAAATTGAACTGTGACATCCTGGTTCATAGGTCGATGCTCAGCCACTGAGCCACACTGGCCAGGCTCAGATTGCTCTTTTTTCTTTTTCCAAAAATGTACGTGATGGTCTGGGTGGCTGTTATGTGGGGGTTTGCCGACTCATCTCTCTACGTGTGTGTGTGTTTATGCCTGTTCTTACACTGTTGCCAGCAAGTCAGGAGCCCTGGAGGCAGACGCTGTTTCAGGTTATTGAATGAAGGTGATGTGTGCAGGGAGGGGAGAGAAACTACTTTCTCAGACCTGAGCTTGAGGTTATTTGATAACAACAAAAGCAAGATGTTGGGGAATTCACTTTGTGCCCAGGGTCCTTTGTCCATAAAGCCCCTTTTTTGGGACCAACCCCAAGTGACCTGTGTGGCCCAGGGGTGGCATGGGCCTGGACCTCAGGGGCAGGGCTCTCACCTTGGGCATCCCTGTGGCCCTCAGCTCCGTCCTCTGTGAATGGAGGTTTTACTCACCCACAGCCCCTCAGGGCCCAGCCTCCACCACTCTGCTGGGTTTGGCTCTGGGCATATAGGCAGGAGAGGCTAGGACACAGTCCGTGGGGGATAGCAAATGGCAGCTAAGCAACGTGATTGCTTAAGAAATTAAGCAATCCTTAATTTCTTGCCTAGTTATACTTTCTGAGTAAGGAATTTTATAAGCTATGAACCTAGTAAGATTTTCATTTCCCTTGGCTGCACCTATGGACTTTACTAAATACTTAATTTCACACAAATACTTCTTAAGGCTGTGGTTTCAGGGCCCCCCTTCCACACGCACTGCAGTTCCTCAGCTTCCCCATTGCCAGGCACTCAGTGGGGTCGGGCAGCCCACCTCTCGCAGCTCTGCTGTTCGCTGCAGTGTTGGGACTGGCCCATCTCAGCCTGTGGTCAGGGCAGGTCAAAGCCTCATGCATTTGACTCGCCTCTGTCAGATGTCAGGTGTCAGACAGAACTCTGGAGCCAGCTGGTCCCTGACCTCAGCCTTGGGGGCGAGCTGCTCACCATCCATGTGTTTGAGACCAAAGTCCTTCCTTTGTCCCCTCGGGATTAAAGTCCAAATCCTGGTGATCCTGCTTGGGTTTTCCTGACTCCAGAGCCCACAGCCAGCCTGCCCATCCAGGTGCCTTCCCCGCAGCAGCCAGGGTTTACCTTTTAATGAATTATAGTTTATTATATAGAAACATATTTATAACAAGGTAATGTAGTTCATACACACAAACAATCAAAGGTATATGGCAATACTCACATCTAATGGACAAATCCACCAGGGACAAATGCTAACTCGGGGGTAGCCGTGTGCTTTTCCACTATGGTCCCTCTCACCCAGACCGGGATCCCCCCTCGCCCCCCTGCTGCAGGCACGCCCTCTGGAAGCGGATCCAGGGCGTGGTGACCCCTCTCCTGGCCAGCATGGTGTCCGTCATCGACAGAGACAGCAACCTGGAACTGCTGGCCAAGCCTGACGCTCCGGCCTGGACACAAGAGCTTTGGATGTTTATTTTCAATGATGTTAACCTGCTGAACATCCCTCTCATGACGAAGGATGCCAGGTGAACGCAGGCTTGCTTTCCGTGGTGGGGGAGCTCCAGCGTGGTGGCAGCCTGACTTCAGAGTCGCACTGGAGTCAGCACCCCTCGCAGCCCGAAGGGCTCAGAGAGCCGTGACTTTCTGAGATGCCTGTGCCTCCTTCACCAGCAGGTCACAGCTGGTGTCGCCAGCACCAGCATACGCATAAAGAAGCTGCCAGGGCACTGCAGCTCGGCCGGTGCGCTTCTGGGCCTCCACTACTCCGTGGGGCCTGCTCCTGTGCGACTCGGGCTCAGCTGGTTTCCCAGAAGCTTCTCGCTTGCATCTTAGGGGCTTCGATTCTGGGGCGTACTGTTAATAAAGTAGAGTACATGGGATTTGGAATCCGGTGGAGACACTGTTGGTCCTGAGACGGACCCTCTCCCAGTCATAGTCCATCTGCAGGGGGCACGGCAAGGTCCTAGCTCCCCAAGACTTCGGCCAGCCTGCGTGCGTGACCCCTCCCTGCCCTGGTCTGTGTTTGGGGGTGTCCATAGCCTCCAGAGACCAGTCTCCAGGAAAGAGGAGCACGGTGGCTCCTGCCTGCATCTCAGCGACATCTCACCACCCATGCTTTCGGCCCTCACTTGAAGGTCCAAGAGCGACATGGCCCACATCCTGGTGCAGAGCCACACACACGGCCTGGAGGAGGTCTGCGGCGCCGTCCCTTTCAGCTGGCGCATCCGGGACTATGTGGAGGAGCTGTGGCTGCAGGCACAGTACATCTCCAAGGCCACAGGTGCGCCGGGACTGGTGGGGGCAGGAAGCGAGCCCGCTCCATCCTGAACAGTGAGGGCCTGGGACTTGGGAGGTGTCGCCGGCAAAGAGAGCACAGGGCCTGCGTCTGGGCAGCTGTCCAGGCCCCTCCTGAGCCCCCAGCACCGGGATATGCTCTCAGCGTCCCAGGAAATCCAATAGTCACCTTCGTAATGAACTAATCTTCTCAAAGTGGACGCACAAGTACTCCTTTAAGAAATACAGGTCGAGCCCTGGCCAGTGCTCAGTGGTTAGAGCTCAGCCCACTGACCAAAGGGTCTCGGGTTCAATTTTCAGTCAAGGGCACATACCTTGGTGGTAGGTTTGATTCCTGGCCCTGGTCAGGCATCTAGGAGGCAACCAATGAATGTGTCTCTCTCACATCAATGTTTCTCTTTCTCTCCCCCCTCTTCCTCCATCCCTTCTACTCTCTCTAAAAATCAATGGAAACAATACCCTCAGGTGAGGATTAACAAAAAAACAAAAAATACAAGCCAAGACACTTGAAGATGAGGTTACTTTTCTAAGTAAGCACCCTGCCACTCTTTCTGAGCAAACTGGAAACAGGAAAGAGTATTTCTCTCTTCTGGGGCCACACCCCCACCCACCCTGCTATGCCAGGGAGCATGCCACGTGGGACAGTGCCCTGTCCCTAGACAGTGGATCTTTGTGGTTTGAGCAGCAGGTGAGCCCCACCCCTGGGTTCCTGCACTTGTCCCGACTTCACAGGCATGTGCTTGGTCTGCCTCAGGTTGTCTAATCCCTTCAAGGTTTGTGAGGCGGTTTGTAACTGAAATTATTTTTTAATATATTTTTATTGATTTCAGAAGGAAGAGAGAGGGAGAGGTAGAAACATACATGATGAGAGGAGTCACTGATTGGCTGCCTTCCGCCTGCCCCACACTGGGGACTGAGCCCGCAACCCGGGCAAGTGCCCTGACCAGGAATTGAACCCTGACCTCCTGGTTCATAGGTTGATATTCAACCCGCCGGGCTGTGACTGAAATTTAACATTAATTCTGCCTTTGTGTCTGTCGTTGCCCTAAAAATATCTAAAGCATCTAGAAATGACCTCAGAGTAGATCGCCCAGTGTCCTTCAAGGTCCTGTTTAGAGTAGACCCTTCCCTACTGTATCAGTCAGCAGAGCGGCGGGCCCACCCATAGAGGCCGTGCCCCGGGGGAGGGAGGGAGAACGTGGCCTGGCCCTCACCCCCCACTCTTTGGGCCCCTCCGCAGGACCGGAACCGGTAGGGAAGCTGGTGGAGATCTTCCCACAGACCCCGCTGGGCCGCTTCCTCGCCCGGCTGCGTGTAGAGGAGCGGCAGGAGCTGCTGCGGTCCTACCTGAGGGACTTCCTGCTCCTGACCATGCAGGTGTCCACGTGGCCAGAACTGGAGGTGAGTGCGGACACTGGGCCACGGCCCGGCTGCGGACACGGAGCTGCGGGCAGAGCGTGTTCTCGGCACACCGTGGGTGCCACCTAGCCACTCCCTCAGCCCCTGGAACTGCTGCTTTTCAATGCTTAGTTTCTCTTGAAGAAAATTAAGTAAACGTTTAACTGACCATTACAATGGAAAGATGAACATCTTTTAAACGTTTGTACATAAAAAAGGAAAGGGACATATTTGAGGAGCACATATAACCAATATGATTAATTAATAAACTATTCTTAGGAATCAATAAGGAAATCCCCCAACTTTTAAAAATGAAAATTATGCCTGGCCAGTGTGGTTCAGTGGTTGAGTGTCGACCTATGAACCAGGAGGTCACAGTTCGATTCCTTGTCAGGGCACATGCCCGGGTTGCAGGCTCGATCCTCAGTAGGGGGCGTGCAGGAGGCAGCCTATCCATGATTCTCTCTCATCATGGATGTTTCTGTCTCCCTTTCTCCCTTCCTCTCGGACATCAATAAAAATATATTTAAATAAAATAAAGTGTATTTGTGTGTGTCTGTGTGTAGCTGTGTGTGTAACTGTGTGTGTCTGGGTGTGATTTACAAACACACCCTGAAAGCCTGTCTCCCCCCAGTTCCTGCAGATGGCTCTGTGGTCCTGCGTCCAACAACTGAGGGTGGGGAGCCCTGAGCAGGAGCTCTCCCTCCCGTGGGTGCACTGGGCCTACCAGCATTTCAGGGTCCGGCTCCAGAACTTCTCCAGAATCTTGACTATCCACCCCCCAGTTCTAGACAGCCTGGCAGCAGCTGCCCGGAGCCAGGACTTGGCTGGACCTGAGATGGTAGGTGCCTTCTGGGGACAGGTAGTGCTTGGCCAGGGCTGGACCTTCCTGAAGGGAGGGCGGGGAGGCTGGCAGTCAAGCTCCAAATGCGAGGCTCCTGCATGAGGCACATGCATCGCGGGATTCAGACGTGAGACACATCCAGTAAGTGCCCTCTGCATCCAGGACAGTGAAGATGGGGCTGGGAGCCGGCCTCCGGGCCTCCGGGCCTCTGGCATGAGACCTAGCGCCACCACAGGGGCTGGGCAGCAGCTGAGTCCCCGCTCACCCTCCACAGACCCTGGACGCCTGGGCAGCCATGGCCTGCACAGAGCTGCTGACCAGGGAACTCCTGAAGCCTAGCCCCCAGGCGTGGCTGCGGGCGGTGAAGAGCCTGGCAGTGCCCCTGCAGCTGCTCTGCTCTGAGGGCTACGTGCAGGGCCCGGGGAGCAGGGCCAGCGGCCTCATCGGAGAAGTCAGGTGAGCTTCCCACCTTCCACTCCTGTCCACAGTAGCCCGCTGAGTCCGGGAGAAGGACACAGGTGCCGGCATGGAGGAGCCCCTTCCTCCTTCCCTCCTTACATCTGTGGAGCCCTCCCCACGCCAGGCTGCACGCTGGTGCTGGAGACCCCGGGAAGAAGAGAAAACCGCATTCCGGGTGTGCAGGGATGAAGGGGGACAGAAAGGCAAGCAGGAATACTGTGGCCACGGGGCACCCGGAAAGGACCCCAAGCAAGATAGGGAGAGCAGGACGACAGGGTGGGCGGCACAGCCAGGGCAGTCGCCCAGGGGATACACATTCTGTGCTGGTCTTAGGGGCACAGAGGGACTCACCAGGCACAGGCTGAGCCCAGCATGTGTGACATCGAGTTACATTCCCACGAGGTCCAGGGGAGACGAAGTGGTACAGGTCGGGCTCACAGCACAGGGCGCACCCAGGCCCCCTTCGCCTGCACCCAGGCCCCCTCCCTCTGCACCCGGATCCGTGGCCTGTCCCCCAGTCCAGTGCCCCTCGTGGTGTCTCAGGCTCCTTTGTCAGAGCTGAGCAGGCCACCCTCCTGACAGAGGCCAGTGGACTCGCATCTTCTCTGTTGCCCTCTTCGTGGAGCACGTGCTCCTGGGGACCGAGGACCACTCGCCCGAGCTGCACACGCTGCTGACCGATTATGTCTTCTCTCTGGACAAGGTGAGGTGATGGTCTGTGTGTCTGAGAGGGAGAGGGACCCAGGTATGACTTCAGCACCACAAGGTTGTCTAAAGTACAAAGGGCAGAGACCTCCCCACACAGGCCATGCGGAGAATGAGGGGAAGGCAGAGCTCCGCCCAGGCTGCCAGGGGAACCCAGACCAGCCCCCTGACCACTTGCCAAAAATTGGGAACATTCTAAAAGCCCAAGAGCAGAAAACAGGGAATTGGTAAGCCCATCAGATGGTGCCAGTTACCGAGAGTGAGCGGGACCTGCGCAGGTTGCAGAAGCTGGGGGCAGAGTGATAGAATGTTTCAGCCACGTCTTAAGGGATCACAGGATCTTCTGTTCTCCCTGGGGAGGGGAGGCAACTGATCAGTGTTCTCTCTCATCATGGATGTTTCTCTTTCTTTCCCTTTCCCTTCTCTCGGAAATTATATATATATATAAATGCCCTGGCCGGTTTGCTCAGTGGTTAGAGTGTGGCCCCACAGACTGAAGGGTCTCAGGTTTTATTCTGGTCAAGGGCACGTACCTCGGTTTTGGGTTCGATCCCCAGCACTGCTTGGGGCATGTATGGGAGGCAACCAATAGATGTGTATCTCTCACATCAATGTTTTTCTTTCTCTCCCTCCCTCTTCCTCCCTCCCTTCCACTCTGTCTGAAAACCAATGAAAAAATATCCTCAGGTGAAGGTTAAAAAGAATGTCGTCTCGAAGAGCATTCAGAGATAGTGACACACACACCAGGCCTCACCCAGCAGACGGACAGGACGGTGCTGACCACACATGTCTGCTGGCTGGCAGGGGGGGTGTCGGCACCTGGACTGGCTGACCCTCCCTTCCTCGCTGCTGACCCTCTTCCTGATCCCTGCTTTCCCCACCAGTGTCTGCAGGGGAACTCAGACATCAAGACCCTCCGCCCGTTCTCGGCGGTGATGGCCACTCTCCGTGAGTGTAAGGACCGGGCCAGCAAGACCTTCACCCGGTGAGCTCCCCGGCGGCCCCGAGGGAGGGAAGTCGGACCCTCTGGGTTCCTAGGGTCTCCCTGCTGGCATCTCCAAGCCAGCGCTGACCACCACCCTGGGTCCTAGGTTCGGGGTCCAGTCATGCCCCGTCTGCCTGGGTGACCCACGCAGCCCGGTCTGCCTGCCCTGCGACCACGTGTTCTGCCTGGACTGCATCAGGCGGTGGCTCACCCCCGGGCAGATGACCTGCCCCCTGTGCCTGACTGAGCTGCCCGACGGCTTCTCCCCCAAAGTTTCCCAGGAGACAAGGTAAAACAGTGTTTATTTTCTCTCAAGAAAGCTTTTTTCTACCATCTTAGAAATATAAGTCCATTAACCTTAGAGATCCTGAGGGGGGGCTGTCCCAGGAGAGACAGTGGACCTTCATAAACACCTGCTGTCTCAGAATCACTGTCTCCCCAAGGCACATGTGTGTAGATGTGGGGGCAGTGACGTTAGAGGAGATAAACCAGGAAGTCAGGTCATAGGCAGCTGCACAAGAGGCCCACCCACAATGTGGGTGGTTTACCCTCACACTGTGTCCCTGCCACCCTGCACTGGGACCTGAGGGGGAGCAAGCTCTGATGGCCACGTGCCTGCGGACAGGTCGCTGAAGTCAGCAGGAGCCCAGGGGCTTTGCCCGCTCTACCCAAGGAAAGGCTTGGCTTCCTTCCCCCTGGGGCCTCTCAGACACACCCACAGGACATTGGAGTGTGGCGGGCTGGTCCGGACGCTCCAAAGTGTTCCTGGGGAGAGAGGAGCGCACACTTTTCCAGACCGGCTCTAATCGATGGGGGAAGTTACGTCTCTGTATTTTAAAAATCAAAATGCCGGCCACATCCCAGGCACTGTGCGTGGAGGGAAATCCAGCCCCCCCTACAGCCTTTGACTGTGGTTTCCTGTCCCTAAGGGTTGCCATCGAGCAGCACGCCCGCTTCCGCCACTTGTGCACCAGCTTCTTCGTGGACCTGGTGTCTACCTTGTGCTTCAAAGACAACTGCCCCCCAAGCAGGGACGTGGTCCAGGAACTGTTGTCCCTGCTCTTCGTGGAGAAGACACTGCTCAGAGATGCACCCCAGAGTATGTGGCTTCCTGCCCGCAGACCAGGGGTGGGAACCGCTTTTCTGCCGAGGCCATGTGGGTGGTTATAACATCATTCGTGGGCCATACAACATTATCCACTCAGCCCAGCCAGCACGGCTCAGGGGTTGAGCATCAGCCTATGAACCAGGAGGTCATGGTTCAAATCTGGCTCAGGGCACATGCCCAGGTTGCAGGCTCTGTCCCCAGTGTGGGGCGTGCAAGAGGCAGCCAATGAATGATTCTCTCTCATCATTGATGTTTCTATCTCTCTCTCCCTCTCCCTTCCTCTCTGAAATCAACCAAAAAATATTTTTAAAGAATTATCTGTTTAAAAATTAGCCTGCCTTATTTAGTCAAACATTTAATTAACTCACCCCTAATGCCTTGGCAGGCCCAGACCAAATGCTTTCGAGGGCCTTATACGGCCCGAGGCCGGACGTCCCCACCCCTGCTATAGACCTCCCAGCCCTGTCCTCATCCCACACACCTGTCTGAGGTGCAGGTGGCTCACTGTCTCTCTCTGGTTTCAGGGCACTGTGAACACACCAAGTCCCTGTCCCCATTTGACGACATGGTGGACAAGACGCCCGTCATCCGCTCGGTGGTCCTGAAACTGCTCCTGAAGTACAGGTCAGCAAGGCAGCCAGAAAGCCCAACTGCTTCTCTTCGTCGCTGTTGCTTCCTTCAGGAGGAGTCCCCATGCAGAGGAGGCTCCTGCAGTGACAGAGCCTGCCTTATTTCTCTGTGTCAGATGCGTGTTGGAGGCAGAAGGCAAATGGCAGTCAGCACAGCCACAAGGCTTTGCTGGGGACAAGAAAGCGGGGGCGGGGGGCGGCGGCAGAGGGGGTGTAAGGGCTCAGAGAGGGACTCGGCGGGGACTCCTGAGTCAGGGGCCTGCGGGCTGATCCCGGGCCACAGGTGTATGATGTTTAGGAAGGTAACCGGACTCTCCCCCACCCTCTCTGTCCCTCTAAGTTATGTTTTGGCTCCTAAACGCCTATGATTCTATCTATGGATAGAGAGGCCACAGTTTTAGAAAATTCTCCGGGAGCGCTCTGTGCTCAGAGGCTGCGGTCGGGCCCTGGGTGCACAGCCCGACTTCTGATGGACACAGTGAGGAAGGTTCTGACAGAAACAACCATTTCTGAGTTCAGTGTCCAAAAGCAGACTCAGAGCAGAGATGTGATTTGCATGCACACAGGCCTGCTGGGTCCTTGTCCACGGACCCAGTGTTTTCCTTTTCTTTAGTCCTCATTTCTGTGAAACAGGATTCCTACAGGATTTTCAAATAAAATGCCCTTAAGAGGCATTTTATTACAGAGCCAGCGTCTTGCTATGCTTTTATGATATATAAGCAAGGAGATGAGGAGAACCTCTTTGGATGTTCTGTGATTTCACTAGCTTTGATAAACGTGTGAAATCCGCATTCCCTGAACCCTTTGCTTAGAGAAGTGTGAATGCAGGCACTGATGTACGTGCGTCTTGATGCGGTGTGGACATATTCACAGGGGTAGAAATCGACCCCAACAGGGCATACGCTCCGTCCTGAGACAGGTAGACACTGACCATTACAGAACTCGTTTTAAGATAAAAATCTAGAGACATAAGACATACTTAAATCTGCATTGTCTGCAGGACGTACTGGCTGCTATCACTGGTTCTCTTTTGCAGTCAAGTATTTCTGTGTTACGAGCTGATGTGGACAGGCCTACGGTTACTGGTGGACATGTAGACATCAGCTCTCTGGCTGATGGGTGTGACACAGTCGCCAAGCCCTGCTGAGCCCCACCCCACCCCTGGCTGTACCACTGGGTGCTTGTGCTGATCGGCTATAGTGGTTCTCAAAGTGCGGGGGTTCAGAATTATTTCTTAAACAATACAAAGATACTTTGCCTTTTTCAATACGTTGGATATGCAACGATGTTACTGCAGCAATGATGGTGTTTTATATTCTTCCAATATTGTACCAAAACATTTTCAATAAAATCATGTTACATACTATATGTATGTATGTATATACTATGTTAAAAATATTTTTTATTGATTCCAGAGAGGAAGGGAGAGGGAGAGAGAGAAAAACATCAATGATGAGAGAGAATCATTGATCGGCTGCCCCTGCACATCCCCTACTGGGTATTGAGCCCACAACCCGGGCATGTGTCCTGACCGGGAATCAAACTGTGACCTCCTGGTTCATAAGTCAACACTCAACCACTGAGCCACACCAGCTGGGCTGTATATACTATCTATATGGGCAGATTGAGAGATAAGTAGGTAGCTACTTTTTTTCTTTTTGGCACAATGAATTTTCGGACCTGAGATGAGCAGGTCTTCTCTCCACAGCTTCCCTGAGGTGAAGGACTGCATTCAGGACCACCTATCCCAGCTGGAGCAGAAGCCATTCCTGGCTGAGGACAAGACAGAGCTCTATGTGCTCTTCAGCAGCTGCCTGGAGGTGAGCTCATGCCCCCAGTGCATTTCCTTCCGACCCTGTGAACCACGTGGCTTATGCGATGGAAAAGTGCTTCTGAAAATCCTCAGAACATGATTGTAGTCGGTGAGATTGTGTTCCGTGCAGAAACAGAAGGTCTCAGAAAGGTCGCTTTGCCCTCGGTAAGCGTCTGTATTGGCAGTTGTGTGCGTGAGGGAACAGCCTGGAAGAACACACCACTGGTGCTGGCAGTGCTGAGCTCCAGCGGAACTGTGGACTTAGCTCAGGGACTATGAATAGCTTTCAGTTTCATTCCCTTCGTATTTTTGTTACTTTCTAAAATTTTATAGTGCATATGAAAAATGTAGATCATACACCATTTTTTCCTCATAGGTTTTCTCTGTCCCCTATTTCTTGCCTCTAAAGTAAAAAGGAATAATAGTTTTCCATGATCCAAAAATTTACACTCAAACCTACAACATTCTTTATCCCTCCTTTATCTCCAAGGTGCACTGGAAATTTTGGAGGGTTG